AACTGCCACCTTGCAAACTTCCCATGCAACACACACACACACACACACACACACACACACACACACACACACAAACACACCGGAAGCCTTTGCCGATAAGTATGCCAACATCTGGAAGGTTGCAGGTGAGGCATTGCAACTGGAATTCTTAAGTTCTCATTTCGATATCACAACTGCCACCTTGCAAACTTCCCACACACACACACACACACACACACACACACACACACACACACACACACACACACAAACACACCAGATGCCTTCGCCCATAAGTATGCCAACATCTGGAAGGTTGCAGGTGAGGCATTGCAACTGGAATTCTTAAGTTCTCATTTCGATATCACAACTGCCACCTTGCAAACTTCCCATGCAACACACACACATACACACACACACGATGTCTTTTGCCTGCAACTTCTTCTTGCTGAAAGGTGACACGCACCTGGCGTAAATCCACAAGGGTTTTCAGCTCCGCCTTGAAGGAATCCTCGTCTTCCATGTAGTGATCTTTAATGACGGCCTGGAATTGCGCACAAAATGAAAACACAGTTGTTGTTGTTGTTTTGTGCCCGCTCGTTTGCCTGAAATCCCCCGCTTTCAAGGTCGCTGCGAAACCAAGTCCTCGACTTACGACCAGAAGGGAGTTTTTCCCTTGTTCCGTGTGGACGTTTGTTAAAGGCATTTTGCCCCATTTTTACCACCCGTTCCTGCCACCGTTGTGAAGTAAGCCACGGCAGTTGTTAAGTGAGTCACAGGGTTGTTAAGTGAATCTGGCTCCCCCCCATGGGTCAGAAGGAGATCATGTGACACTTCCCCCCCCCCCTCCGGCAGGACATGGCAGGTGTCATAAGTACATGTCAGTGGCCAATTTTGACCACGTGACTGTGGGGATTCTAGCAATGGTCGCTAACTGTGAAAAACAGTCACAAGGTCACTTCTTTCAGCACAGTCGTAACTTTGAGCGGTCACTAAACGGATTGCTGTAAGTCGAGGACATCCTGTAAACGGCTTTCTTCAATTCTATCCCCCTCCAAACCAGAGAATTTCACCCCAGTTCCCCAAAAGAGAAACTCGGTTTTAGGGAATGGGGAATGAATGCGAGATCCATCAGATTTAAGTGCTGTTTCGCACCCACCTCTTTGCCCTCCTTAAAAGGCTGCAGACTGGATCCTTCCCCGAGATCTCCTTACCTTCAGAGGAGCTGCCCAGTCCAGGTCCTTGGTCTCCTTCAACCCCAGGGGGATCATGGGGACACTGATTGAGTCACTGAGAGAGAAAGAGAGAGAGGGAGAGAGGGAGGGAGAGAGAAAGAGGGAGAAAGAGAAAGAGAGAGGGAGAGAGAGAGAAAGCAAGAGCGGGAGAGAGAGAAACAGAAAGGAAGAGAAAGAGAGGGAGAGAGAGACAGAGAGGATGAGAAAAAGAAAGAGACAAAAAAGAGGGAGAAAAGAGAGAGCAAGAGAGGAAAGAGAGAGGGAGAGAGAAAGAGGGAGAAAGAGAGGAAGAGAGAGAGACAGAGAGGAAGAGAAAGAGAGAGAGAAAAGAGAGAGCAAGAGAGGAAAGAGAAAGAGGGAGAAAGAGTTTGAGAGACAGAGAGGAAGAGAAAGAGAAAGAGAGAGAAAAAGAGAGGAAGAAAAGAGNGAGGAGATGGAGGAGGAGGGGGAGGAGAACTGAAGAGTCCTTGGTGTTTTTTGAGCTTGGTGGTTTTCTTGCAGGCATTTCACCACCCAAGTAGGTAACATAGTCAGTGCTGGAATGTGTCAATCCCCTCTCCCTTCTACCACTGATGATGTTCCCTAGTTGGTTCACGAAACGTCTGCAAGAAAAACGTCAAGTTCAGGGAGCACCAAGGACCCCACAGTCCTCCCCCCCCTTCCCCTCCTCTATTCTGCAAAACCCCACTGCTCTAGCACTGACAATGTTACCTAGTTGGGTCACGAGATGTCTGCAAGAAAATAACTCAGCTCTGAAGCACCAACGACCTCCCCAATCCTCCCCCGTCCTCCCTCCCTCCTTCTCCTTATTCTGCACACCCCACTCCCTTCCAAAACTGATGATATTACCTACTTGGGTCACGAAACATCCGCAAGAAAACCGCCAAGCTCAGAAAGCCGTACAGTTCCCACTCTGAGCTACCAAGTTTTTTTTGTTGTTGATTCTCTCTACACAACACCCCCAAAAAGTCCCTTCCCCCCACCCACCCCACTGACCAGTGGAAGAACAGCCCCAGATTGTGATGGGGCGAGAAGAAACGGTTGTCGAGGAAGTAGAGCTGGCTGTAATATTCCATCAGGAGTTCCAGGCCCGCCTTGTTCCGGCTGGGTGCCCGCATGGCCTGTTGGGGACACAAGACGGGAGAGAAGGCAAAGAGCCGTGAATAACAGAAGGGGGCCTTGGAGGTCATCCAGTCCAACCCCCTGCTCAGGCAGGAGACCCCCAGACCACTTCAGACAAGTGGCTGTCCGGGCTCTTCTGCAAAGCCTCCAGCGATGGGAGCAGCAGCTTGGATTCCAAAGGAGACGCAGGTGAGAACCCCAGATTCATCTTCCTGCTCAAATGGCAGGTATGGTCCTCGGCTTACGACCACAACCGGCATTGTGATGCTACCCCTGCCATCTCGAAAAGTTGAACAGTTACCCTCCATGCAACACACCCGCACCCCGGAAGCCTTCGCCGATAAGTATGCCCAACATCTGGAAGGTTGCAGGTGAGGCATTGCGACTGGAATTCTTAAGTTCTCATCGCGATGTCGCAACTGCCACCTTGCAAACTTCCCATGCAACACACACACACACACACACACACACACACACACACACCCCAGAAGCCTTCGCCGATAAGTATGCCAACATCTGGAAGGTTGCAGGCGAGGCATTGCGACTGGAATTCTTAAGGTCTCATTGCGATGTCGCAACTGCCACCTTGCAAACTTCCCATGCAACACACACACACACACACACACACACACACACACCAGAAGCCTTCGCCCATAAGTATGCCAACATCTGGAAGGTTGCAGGCGAGGCATTGCGACTGGAATTCTTAAGTTGTTCTCATTGCGATGTCGCAACTGCCACCTTGCAAACTTCCCATGCAACACACACACACACACACACACACCAGATGCCTTCGCCCATAAGTATGCCAACATCTGGAAGGTTGCAGGCGAGGCATTGCGACTGGAATTCTTAAGTTGTTCTCATTGCGATGTCGCAACTGCCACCTTGCAAACTTCCCATGCAACACACACACACACACACACACACACACACCAGATGCCTTCGCCCATAAGTATGCCAACATCTGGAAGGTTGCAGGCGAGGCATTGCGACTGGAATTCTTAAGTTGTTCTCATTGCGATGTCGCAACTGCCACCTTGCAAACTTCCCATGCAACACACACACACACACACACACACACACACCAGATGCCTTCGCC